CTGTGTGGCCGGGCCCGGTGGCCAGCGGGCCCGTCTGGCGTGTGGGCCGGATGGCAGGGGGTGATTCTAGGGGGCTGCTGGGCAAGTCCAGTGATCGCCCCAGAACCCTCACTCCTCCTCAGGGGGAGGGGTGAGCCCACCTTGCGGGGGGGAGGGGTCCATCCACTTACCGATTCTGGGTTCTTGACAAAGACCTTGCTCCGGCCCATCTGATACTGGTCGGTGTCCATGTTCACCGAGTGCAGCAGGTGCTGCACGCCCTGGCGCCCCTCCCCCCGCCAGCAGGGCCAGGTCTCCGGGGTCAGGATGGCGTACCTGCCGGGACCGGGCGCGTCACCGCGTGGGCTGCGGCCCAGGTGCCCTCGGAGACTGGAGCCCCGCACTCAGCCCCCGGGCCGGGGAGGCCCCCAGCACTCGGGGAGGGGGCCCTACCTTTGCAGAAACTTCTGGAAGAGCCGCCGATAGGCAAAGCCCGCCCGGCGCACACGGATGTTCTCCTTCAGCCCCAGGTACTCCACTTGGTGCTTCACCCTGCGAGGCAGGAGGGGGAGACGCACAGCACCGGTGAGGCAGCTGCCGGGCGGCGCGGAGAGTCTGGCAACCTGCACGGCCGGGGGGCATGTGCCTGCGGGTGCAGGTGCACGGAGGGAGGGGGCGCTGGGTGTCTGCGTGCGTGTTACACTTTCCCCAGCCCGCTGGGCAGTGTAAATTGTGCCCCAGCTGATGAGCAGAGCTCTCGGTGGTGCACATTCGCACAGGCCTCAGCGCACATTACAAAATGTATTCCGCCCATGGACGGAAACGATGGGAGGGATCATTGCTGCCGGCTGATCGTGGGCAAGTTGAGGCCTGGCTCCGTGCCTCAGTTTCCCCCTCTGCGAAAGCTTTGAGCTCTACTGATGATGCGTGTCGTGTACAAGGCAAGTGGCAGGATTTTTACTAATAACAACTCTGTCCGGAATGATAAAAACAAGAGACGGAAACAACGAAATCCCGCGTAAACCGTTCAGAAGAGCGTTGGGACCTCGGGGCCAATGACTCAATTTCAGTTCAATGGCGGCTCTAGGGAGCGGGGTCACAAAAGGTGCCTGGGCCCTGACGATGAGGACAGGTGCCTAGCGCAGTTGTCCAAAGCCCCCGCACAGAGGAAACGCCTGACACCCATCAGAGCAGTCAGCACCCTGCTGGTAGAGAAACATTTCTTCCGTAGCCTGGATGTGCTGTCTGTCTGTCTGTCTGTCTGTGTCCCTCACGAGCTGAGCACTTGGCAGCCACCCAGGAGAGATTCAAATGCCGCCCAGCTGATTAGCAGAGCGCCCAGAGCCGGCAGCCTGTGTTTCTACTGGTGGTGCACGTCTGCACATGCCTCGGTGCACAGAACGCAATTTGTTCTGCACATGGATAGAAAAAAACCCCAGAGGGAACCCTGGTGCCCGTCTGACTGTCTGTCTTGGAAGTAAGCTTAGGCGCCTTGCTCACACGCTCGGCGAGGAGCAGTCTGGCGCAGGGGGCAGAGACACTGGGGTTTTACTCACTACACCTAGGGCCGTTCCCGCTGAGCTCCCCTGAGAACCTGGCGAAGGTGTTTCCCCTCCCACCCTTCGTTTAGCTTCTCGGCCTTCGCGGGCCGGGACGGCCTCTCGCAAGGTTTATCTGCAGCGACGGGTCCTCGGCTGTGGCGACGGCCTCGCTCACCTGCTTTCCTCCCAGTCCCTGGGGCGCTTGGTCTCGTTGGGCTTGATGCAGCGGATGTACTGCGGCGTGCACTTCATGAGAGTGTTCACCAGGTCGTTGGCCTGTTTCTGTTGGAAAGAGCAAGGCCGAGAGTGTTACCGGCTGCCAGCTCCCCGAGGGCAGAGACGCCGTCCCGTAGCCGCCC